CATTCGACAACCAGGTACGCTCATCTGACATGTACGCAAGATGCTAAACCACCGAGGAAAGCAAGTAATTTAAAACATACGGTGTTAAACAATGTGCAAAACGTGCCTAACCAAATCGAAAACAACATGATTGTCATAGTGCGACTGGTGACCTTATCTATTATTCTCCATGTGAACTCCATGTGGCGGATAGTGCAGTGGTAGTGATTCCGCTCATTACGCGGACTGTTCAATCCACCCAAGCGTTGATGCAACTCCGCTTCGGGCGCACCAACAAAATATCACTCCTCTAATCCACGTGGAAACGTCCTAGGATGGCCATCGCAAAATTCTGGGAACAATCGACTGACCAGCATTTATCAACACTCCTGAAGAAGACGAAAAAAATAGTCAAGGAGTAGCTGAGCCCACACGCACAGAACTTCGAACACCTTCCTGTGCAATGGATCAAAGGAATAGAGTGGATTACAAATGCTGGGGTCCACACTGCGTTATATATATGGAGCCGGGTCTTTTGAAGTTATGTGATGTTTCTTTTCATTTTATTTTATATGACCCGTCTTCTCGTCTATCGTGTGGATCCCAGCACTTCTCACATTCGATTCGCTTCTTTCGTTATGTAATGTAATGTTTGTCAACTCCACCTAGCCGAATAAGTCCCACACTAACATGCGATTATACCGATTGGTCCTATCCTCTTCACCCTCCAGTAGTTTTTTTTACTACTCTGCTTATTTTTAAAGAACATATAACGACAGAAAATATTGTAAATGGCGCTTTCGTTGCAAATGTTACACTGTTAGCCAATGGACATCAAAGCCGTCATGTGTTCAAGATAACCGTTGAGCATATCTTAAAGTTGTACGAAAAACATTGAAGCAGTGAAATGCATAATCATGATTGCTAAATTAAGTTTTCGATTACTGGTCGAATTATTCCTCTACAAAGTCACCACTAACGATTAAAAATGCTTTGTGAGCAGAAATTATCGCAGGCACTACAATTTATGTGAAAAAGGGACGATTTCTGCAAGTAATGAAACTATCACCCTATTCAATTTTTTCCCAAATTCATAAAAAGCCCACTTTAATAGGAGCGACCTTAAAACCGTCGTTACGTTTAAAGTCTAACGTCAGCTAAAAATAACGAGAAAGGATTTGAAACGTTTCCACTTGTGGACAACATCCTAGAAAGCTATTACAAAGTGAGTCATATCGCAATGGTGCCGATTTATAGAAAATTGACGTTGATTTTTTGATATATGGACCAACTGTAGGCTTGAAGCCATCGCTATTAAGGCAAATCTGAAACAAGAAACATAGTTGTCGGCGTTGATCAATTCCTGACGGATGCAGCGCTCAACGAGATTTATGAAGAACATGAAATTCTCAATTGGCAGCTGAACTCGCTCGCAAACTCGGTGAGTCTCGTTAATGACAGTTGCAAGACCACGAACCGAATAAAGGAAATGCGTTATTTCGCAAAAGTCGGGTCATACTCAAAACTAAACTTGGTTTTAAAACTAATTAGAACTCAAATTTTCGAAAAACGAATAAGAAACATTTGTGGCATTCTTAACCTTTTTATTAACTGCCTATTCTTTTTAATGGCAGGGTATGTTGCGAAATATAACTTCCATAATGCTGAGATAATTGCAAAACTCCGGACCGCAGGTGGCTGCGGTGGAGAACGAACGCGCTATTGTCCTTTCCGAGGAGTAACGCGTTCACCACCACACCATGCGGGTCGTTCGTTTAGCCTGCCTCTCAGCGAAAACATCGACAGAACTAACCGAGAGACAGGCTAAACGGAGGACCCGCATGGTGTGGTGGTGAAGGCGTTACTCCCCGGAAAGGGCAACAACACATTCGTTTCCCACCGCATACATCTGCGGTGCGGAGTTTTGCAAATATCTCAGCATTATAGAAATTCATGGCATTTTGAAAGATTTCTAACACAAACACAGCAGGTACAAGCATAAACAATGCGAATACGTCATCACGCCTTGTAAGACGAGATCTCTCTTCTTTAATTCCACGAATGAGGCCCAGTGAAAGAAATAGGAAAAGAAAAACCAATCATGGTCTCCAAAAAGAGGCTAGTGTTTGTGAAAGTTAAAAATTTCTGCTTCAACTATTATTCTCGACATTTGCTGACGTAAAAGAGTTACGTGTTCGGCGTTCATCAATCCCTTAGAAAAGCGCAATGCATTCCACTTCATCAATCTTGGAAGAGGTTATTGAACACATGTTTATTCCATAGAACGAAGTTCGGTGGGCTACCGATACATCAAGTCAGTGTTGACCCTAGAACTATGGAAATCACAGTGAGCCGAAGGCGCGAGCAGGAAGAAGCGACCGATCCAGTGTGAATAGTAGAGTACCTTTAACCACTGCTCTGAACATTCTGTTTTGCTAGGACATGATTGTTAAAAGTTAAAGACCTAAATCATTTTTATGTATATATATATATATATATATATATATATATATGGCTCATTTAGGGCTCGCACTGTCCACAATGTCTTAAAAAGGGTCTGAAAGGTATTACGAAATAAATTCATGAGTTAACTACAAGCGTGCATTTCTTAAGGAATTAACTTCTGAGTAGGGTCTGACGTGAAATTAAAAGAAAGCTCCTATTTCTTTAGTTACCAACTTTCTCCTCTGCTGAACGTTCCACTTATGTAAACGAGATAGTTAACGAAAATCACAGAACAGATTGTAGTCTAGGCTAGATGAAAAAGTCATTTTCATGCAAGCTCTTAACAAATCTCCAAGTAATGAGAAAAACCTCTGTTCAGCACATAGCAACTAATCGAATTTAAAGGACTAAAATTCGATATTACATTAACAGAGAACATTTTCAATAAACTAGGTTCATTTGGAGCTCGTACGACTTCGGACAATCAAGAGAAGATCGCTTTCGAAGCAATTCAACTGAAGAAAAATCAAGTAGGTGAATAGATTTAAATGAAACTTTCAAGCAACCGATATTATAGAAATTCAATTTTCAGATCACATTCGTTTTCTTGAAATGTAAATAACTTAGGTAATCTTTGAATCTTATCCCTGGGATCACAAAAAAATTGAAACACGCTCTCTGAATTTTTATGGGGTCAGCTATGACCTACACAAAAACACCAAGAGACTGTTGTACAATCAGAGAGCCTAGATGAAATCTACTAAAAATAACTTCAATGATGCTGAGATCTTTGCAAAACTCCGGACCGCAGGTGTTTGTGATGGGAATGAACGCGCTATTACTCTTTCCGGGTTCCAACGCGTTCAGCACCATACCATGCGGGTCATTCGTTTCGCCTTTCTTCATTAAAAATAAATATAAGCCATAGAATACGTCACTTCTAGTAGATCTCTTAACAAAGACAAGCTAAATCTTAGCAGTAAAAGTGAAAAATGTTTTAGAGTTGTAAAAAATTGTTAATATATTCAACTCGAATGTTTTAATGGAATAAACAGCCATTACTCAAACTACGGAATGGGACAGAGAACATTAAAAAAGCTTTAATTCAGAAAAGAAATTTGTACAGTTAGACAACATTGTATAAAGACTATTCATAACAACCGAGTGTAAGCATAAAATACAAAGTAGCAAAAACTAAAACAAGATAGAACGGAAACTGAAACAAAAAAAACACATTTCCAACCAAAAAATGAGGTTTCATCAGAAGGTGCCCGCTTTTGTAAGCTGTGAAACAATGGAGAGAAAGCAGCTGCAATGAGAAGCTTAGAAAAAATTCCGAACAAAACTGCAATCACAGTAAGAGGTTTTTTAACACATTTTTCTGTAATTTTTCTTTTTTTTTGCTCTCAGATCTGCAAGTTTGAAACTCGCTCGAATATATGGGATACATCACTGTTGGCTCCTGAATCCGGGATGCAATCAGAGATATTCATGCATTAGAGATAGAGAGATAAGACATTTTTATGGATTACATGTAATTTTTAAAAAGTTCTGATGCACTGCCTAGTGAGAAGAATCGGCTCTCTAAAGGTAAATCGTGCATAATGATATGATTTGTGGTGTCGAATAATCTTTTTTAGGACAGGACAACAAATAACATCAGAAAGTGGTGAGAAATGGAAGTGAACAAATTCTATGTAAAAGTCAAGTTAAACAAATAAAAAAATAGATAGACATAGAAAACACATGCGAATATTATGACAAGATGAAAGGCTATATTAACAAAAGGAAGACAATATTGTATTTGTGATTTCCAAAAGGCAAGTCCAATTAATTACGTTAGACTGAGAATCAGACGCTGGGATGTCCGCATAATTTAATGCGACAACGTTTATCCATAAAAAATCTTAGGCTTACATTCCTAATTAGGCTCAGTTTTTGCCGTTCTAACACTTTATTCCTGAATAAAACTGATCTCACGAACTACCCAACCGAAAGAAGAAACACTAACTGCCGAATATCAAGTCACCTATTTTTGAGTGTTACTTTTTTGTCAGATCTCTTAAGAAAGTATCACCTACTCTTCCAAATTAATATGAAAGCATGATGGGTCACGAGATACTTGCAACTTGTCCCATTACTGGTGCTAATAACAACCATTTCGTTCTTAACGTTTTAGCATTTTAGTCGGGTATTCTAGAGAAGGATTACCGGAGATTCAGATACTCAGCTTTTAAATAGTATGAACAATGAATAAGTCTACACTGAGAACCAAACTCCCTCTAAAATTTTTTTCCAGCAGACAAGCTACATGAGAAATATCTAATAAGATAGTGTTTACCAACACGCCTGTGGACTGCCGCCGTCCATTCTACATTTGCTGTAACATAGATGGTACAAATTCTACCTAATTGTACATCACCAACAAAAATTTTCAAGCTGAGAAACTTTGTCCATGCCATCGCAAAAGTTCCGTGGTGGTGAGGTCAGCACAAAACTACCCGACGACGAGGAAGCACATTTTATCGGAGCAACCTACCCTATAGAATAAAGCAAAGGAGAAAAGAAAACTACAATTAAGTGGAATGGCCGGCGAATATGACATGAGTGGTGAACATGTATTTCTCCATGCATTGAGTTCCACACAAATTGCATCTCCACGGATCACATTCGCTGTGTAGTCCTTTATGCAACAGATGCATTGTTTCATCAAAAAACGATATGCCACAGTGTGTGCACTCCTAAATAAACATTAATTTCTATACAAACGCAGACACAAAACGGGAAACTTATAAAAGACGTATGAGCATGTAATATAGTGCAAAACATTCAGCTAACTGTATCTACCACACTATACTCAATTATCAAATCAAATAGCTCTCTTGCATATAATTGAAGTGACTTAAAAGTGCTAACAGAATCTGTAACTTTCTTATCACTTTACATTGACACTTTAATTTTAAACCTTCTACTCATAAAAAATTTCCATGAATTCCAGAAGGAATCACATGGCAATTATGAAATCAAGTGTCTGGAAAAGGTTTGTTTTCATACATTACTACGATTTGTACAGTATCCACAACTTACACCGCCTTTTTTACGTGGTGTTCTATGAAAAAGAAACAGGATCGGACTCTCCTATTCAATTATCCCAAACGAAAGGTATTAATGTCTGAGTTTTAACCACGTGTTCTTGCTCTGCCATTGAGAATCCCTGAAGCCCTATAATTGCAATCTAATCCACATTAGAAAAATGTCGCAGCTAGCATAGAACTTTTTCCTTTGATTGAATTTAACACATTCGCAACCGTTCTAGTTTTTGATAACTGCTGATAGTTTCCGTATCGCTAGAGCAGTTGAGGAGTTCAGAAGTTTACAAGTTGTTAAAAGTACGGAAGAGGTTTCGCTCTACTGCCTTAAACATATATATATATTTGTATATATATATGCATTTGTACATATATATATACATAAGTTTCATAAAATATTGTCCCGTTCTTAAGCCACCTTAGACAGTAAATTAAAAGAGACTGAAAAAAATTTAAACTATTTTCAAAAATTCCAATGCAGGCGCCACTTTCGCAAACACTAATGGCACCGTCATGTCTTTCGATATTGAACTCTGGCTTCGGTTTTCGCAATACCACAGCCACTACGAATAAAACCCCAAGGGAAATTCACCCCACGCCTGCAACAGAAAATCAGGACTTTTTTCGTTGTTGGATAGGTAGATTTTAACTATATGTGTTAATAAAGTTCATTAATAGCGGAAATAAGCTTGTTTAAAGTCTAAAAATGCCAATATTTTCGCATTATACCTATTGAAACCAAGCGCACAGCCCAATATGCAATGCGGGATATTTCCTCACTGACGTCGTGCTGCCTTGTTTGAAGCACTAGGTGATCCCTTTGACTTCTATGCCTGCATGACATCGGGTTTCTAGATGCAAAGTGAAACAACAACAAAAAACTATATTCGAGTACCGAAAAAATAAGGATTTCCTTTTTTAGGTCTAATTTCTTGGTCAGAAATTTGACTCAGGTTTCTAAGTTAACTTTTCGATCAAGAAAGTCAACCTCTACAACTATTAGTTGTTGTTTGTGATTGTTTATAGGCGTCATCTATAATATATGAGATTTCACCAAATCGTTGGCGTACAGACGGAAGAGCGCCTGTCGCCATGTTTGTGTTGGAAAACCAGATTGGTCACGACGAGAAAAAATGCATAAAATCCTTGTCATGGTGTCTGGTGTATTATCATTTGCGGTAAGTAAATACCATATTACAGATATACAAAAAATCGTTAACATGCAAAAGTTTGGAATTTTTTCTTTTTTTTTTAAATATACAGGGTCGAGGTGACTTATTTGCGATCATGCTGTAACATTCTACGCAAGGTCACCAAGATAGGAGGCTCATGAGCGAACGACAAAACAAGAATGTATTTCGCTTAATAACTGATCAGTTGACGAGAAAATTTTTGCAGGAAAAGCACGCATGAGTTAGGAGTTAGAACACGCAACGAAGGATGGGTTTACTGAAATCACGTGAATACTTCACATTGCTTAGATTTGAATATGAGTGAATTGCTATTGGTGTAAGGTTATCTGATATTTCTGAAATATGTGTGTTTTTGATAAAAACACACCCACCAAAGACTCTTTAATTTTCTCCGCTTCGGTCGCCTGACTAACACCACTAGTTGCAGAAGGAGAATGAGGACCACACTGGGCGATGGAGTCGGTGGCCCAAAATCCCATCGTCTGTTCAATTGCGAGCTGATTCTAGAAACAAAGTGCTCGTCCATTTTTTCTATTTATAGTGCATTTTTGCAAATAACAAACCGTTGCGGATGTCGTGGGAAATTTAAGTGTTGGGTTAAGACACATTATTAGCAAATCCTCGCTTGTCATTGGATAAGTAGTTGGCTGCAAAGCACCAAATATTACTCCACTCTTGAATTCCTAAGTAAGAAACCACAAAGGTGTTATTTCGTTATAAAAGCTCTTCATTGTTTTCCATTATGAGAGGGAAATGACATTTCCGGACCGTGAATCCCTGTTATTTCCCGATAATCTCGCAAGTTTCCGTAATGATCATAATCCGGGTAACTGCGAATTGCTAAATTGGGTGGAATGATAGTAACTTGTTCTGGGTAAGTCTCATGGTATTAAACGAAATCGTACGACTAAGGATTCTCATCGAAAAGCTGGACACTTAGCATTATGGTACCTTTAACCCTATGCATCCATTAAAATGTTAATGCGCATATCGTTTTAAATGCCTTTCTCATGCAACATTTCAAAGGAAACTTGCAAGCTATTTGGACAGCACAAAGAGTTTTCGAGATGAATTGTTCAAATAACTGCTTCTATCATGCTTTAAAGGCAGAAGTCTCTTATTTTAGAAGTTAGCATTCAGGACCTGGTCCAAATCTGGGCTTGAAGATTTTTCTGAAGAATCGGTTTGATGAGGACTAAATTCTTTCTTGCACACTAGATGAGTATAAGGCGGAGATACGGCACTCGGCAACGGTCGTTTCCTTTTCAACGGCAATTCGTCTACATTTTTCGAAGCTGCCACTCCGCACTGTAAAAGAGAGTGAACTTTATGAAAATGATGAAAACTCCAGCCGTTTACACTTTTTTGCGCTTACTTCGGTGTCATCATGTCGTGTTTGATAATGAAGAAGGAGACGACGAGAATTTGCGAACAGTAAAGAACATCGCTTACAAGATGCTGGAGATGAGGCACAGACGTTGTGAGCCTCATCTAGATGAGATCTGCATAAGTATATCTGGTCAGTGTTTTCGTGATCATAATCGCGGCTTTTGGGCAAAGTTACGGTTACCTTAGGGTTGAATGCTGGCTGAATTGACGGCTACAGAAGGCGACTGGACAGTCAAAAGCAATGCCGGTTTTAATATGTGTCATCGAATGTTCTTGCATCTATAATATTTCCAGTCAGTTGTTCATCCCTATGTTAACGACTGAATTGCTATCCCGAATTTTTCACAGGGAAACCACTTGTCTTAACGAGTGGATTTCACCGTCAAGGCCTTTCTTGCGCAACCGGCGCTCTAAAGAAACAGCGACCTTGCAGGTCTGGAAAATGTAGTAATGGATATCGTGCCATCTAACAGCGATCGGCCTTGGATGTCGAAGACGCAGAGAAATGAATGAGGCGCGTAAATTGTATGGTAGAGCGAAAAGCACGAAAATAAAACGCTCCTCTCTCAACTATGTCGCTTTTGGCATTCTTTATCACATACTTGGTCTTTCCGAAAGAAACGCTTTTTGCAGTAGCGACATTCGTAAGGTTTAACTCCGCTGTGTCTCATACGATGACGGTGCATGTTAGCCTGAAAGGACCACCTTCTTTCAATCAGAATCTTCATCCATAATTGGCTATTACCTTTTGACTGAACTGCATCTGACAAATGTCACATTGATACATCTGCCCTTGATGCCTCACGTGTGCATCCTGAAATACGTATGAATACCCCTCGTCAACCGTGATTAGTAAATGTTTCATCAGCTGAATGAGAAGCGAGTTATAGGAAGTAATGCAGTGGAGGATTGACGAGGAGGAAAGTCAAACAGTGCGCGTGGATGGCGAAACGGTCAGAAGTGTGTACTGACCTTAAGCGAGTGCAACTGCTGACCGCATAACGCAGACTTGTAAAACTCCGTTCTACTCCCAATGTTCAGAAAATAATATGTTTTTAAGGATTCTATGGAAAAGCCTTCTAGTGCACTCCAAATATTAACTCACCAAATGACTCTTCATGTGTTGAGACATGAACGTTGTAAACTTGCAGTGCGGACACACATGGACTGTTTTCATCTTTGTGCCAACTGCTTGCGGCTCTTGGATTACGGATGTTTCTAAATACAAATAGCTAAAAATCAAATAAATGGCTTATGTATTCAAGTGGGAACAAATCTGCACCTTCGAGGGGTGAACTGTCGCCAGTAGCAGTTCTCGGTGAATTTTTTTCAGGAACTGAATTTGGCGATGGCGTGGGTGATTCACTCTCTGTCCACTCTATAGTCTGAAAAAATACGTCCGAAACGTCACAAAATGGTATAAAACAAATAGATAGCAAGCCTTGGTGGTTTTCTAGCAAAAAAATAGTACTTCGTGACGTATCTTACAGAGAGTTAACCAGTCGCAATAAGAATTGTTATGAATTACTACAAATTAGTCTCTAGAGATATGCACCTCAGAAGCACGGCGGCCAATTACACAATTACAGAATCCACTTAAATATTTATAAAGTAGCTGCATACGCATATACTATAGGTGTTTTCAGCGCCACTTCTTGGAACTGATTGTTTCAAACCCTTCGTAGGACCACTTTTCACCAGACGCAGTTGGATTGAAGCGGTTTTTGGATTTTTCGCGATAGCAATCGCTTAAGCCCCGGCTTGCCAAGGACATTGCTCTAATCAACATCGCATCACATTATAGTACAAAGTGGAACGGTCTATTGCGTGCAATCCAAGTTCTACTGCAAAGAATACCTAATTTTGCTGCCACACCATTGTACAATGCTATGTAACCAAATTCGAGCAACTGAAGTAATACGTTTAGGTTCATTTAACTTTTAAATAGAGAATATTTCTAATGAACACAGAACGTCATACAATACCTGTGCGTGCGAAAGTTCACCGCTTGATGATCGATTATGCTCCTCTTCATGATGTTCTGAAACAATTTCAAGAAAACGCATAAATTTACAACAAATGATGTGTTTATGGTAAATATATAACTGGACTGTCTATGCTACAGAGAATGGTTGGATGAAGATCCATAAAAAAAGTTCTCGCAGATTTCTAACATACCAATATGAGATGTGAATACTTCCATACTAGACGTTGTAAATCCACATTCCGTGCACGCATTTAACTCGTCCATATTCGATAATCTAAGCGTTTAGAATTACATTTGGCCTGATACAGCCTGGTACTGATAAAACTAAAAAAGAAACATGGCATAGTGGAATATGACGGAAAAATTCCTATGGAGGATCTTTTACGGTTGCATGGCGACCCACGAATAACAAAGCTGCAAAATGATGAAAACGGAAATTATAGAAATTAACCCCGCTCAGGCGTAAGTGATGATACCGAATGAGGAGTTGATAAAGAAATCCGATAACTGAGTGTCAACATCACTAGAACAACAAAGTTGTCCATAAGTGTAAGAAGAGTCCGTGATTTCTATGCAATTACACATCTAATTATATGTAACCGGTGCTTGCGATATGTTCATTGTAGGCAGTTAGCTTCGAACGATAGAATGCGTAGAAACGCGTTGCTCCATGATGCATTGATGTGGTAATAAGCACTAAAGCGGAATACGCTAATAGAAATTACGAGAAACTATTATGTACTCTGCAGGAATCCTTCTAACATTGTAAGGCAAGTTTGTAATCAAATACAAAAGCAACAGAATGGGAACCGGATATGGTCGGTAGCTGAATGGCGGGTGCGAATGTTGACTGACTTAGGTCCACGTTTGAGTGACCCCACTCCCCTCTCCCATCTCCGAGCCGAGTCTGGCTGTTTGTCCTCCGTGAGTTTCCGCGTACAGTCAAACATCAGTGCAGCAACGCTGACAGACAAAGAATCCGTAGTTTTGTCACGTTCGTTACCTCATCAACTTAGGCAATGCGTTCTTATATGAGTAGGAAAAATAGTAAGACAGGCCTGCTATACAGTAACGTGAGTACCGCCTACGGCATAATTTTATCGGGAAAACACGCACAAGAGATTCGTAACGCGGTTATTATGTAGCAATTTGAAATTTGCTGCCCGTTCTGATGTCGCATTTCTCTCGATATGCCACGGAGAGAAACCGCAAGTTAACGGGTGGTGCAAAGCTACAGAACGAAAACGTTTAAAAACTTCTTCGTCGATTTAAATGACAAGTTGTTTGTGGATGTCAGCATGCTGGTACTACGACCAGGTGCAATGGAAATCCGAGTAGCGTTCAGCGCAAAATTTGATTAAACAAGCAGGTACATACGATTATGACTTTTCCGACCTTGAATACTAATTTAAGATCTAATCAGACGGAGGAAACTCGGCGCTGTATTGTGAAATCGATCCGTGTTTCCGGAAGAAATGTTGGAATTTAGAACAACGAAGACGCTTACAGAATTGCAGAGGTGGAAAATGCAAACGACGTGACAACAAATTTAAAATGAAGTTTCGTTGTAGACGCAAAAAGAATTGATATACTTGCAAAAAAAAAAACGTAACTTACTGTACGATTCTCTTCTACCAGAGTGAACAAGAAGCAATAGAACCAATTTTCAGAAACAGAAAAGTTATTTAGCCACTCCTGCTTGCATCTACGAATTTGAAAGAGTACTGAAGTTATCACCTGATGCATCATACTTCGCTAATTAGCCTCAAGAAATTAATTCATGCGAGAGTTTATGCTTGACGACTTTGCTGAATGGAGTTACCAGAATGAGTAGGCCGTATAAAGCCTATACTACATTGCTAAATCTCGAAAAAACATCAGAAACTTTTGTAGGCCACAATGGCAAGGATTGGAAGAAAAAGAACAAACATGACCGCATCCAGACCGATGAGAGAGAGAGACAGGACTAGTACGAGGGATTGAGGATAATCTACGGACCGCGCGACTGCTAGGATTTGTTGTTGCCCACACGTACATTGATGTGTATGTTTATAGCGTTTGATTTTCATAGGGAACAAATGAGTTTTTAAGGGTTGGCCGAAGTAGAGACGAGGCACATAGTTAGGAATAGCCATCGCAACATTTACAGTACACTTAGGGTAAGTGTTAGCAAAAATGACGTTCTTAAGGATGGAAAGAGCACTCTTTGAAGTCTCACCATCTACGAAGCGAGGTAGAAAGTTATGGCAGAGCGAAATTGATTGAGCGGGAGCGAAAGCGGGCATCCTTGAACGCGGCGAAAGTTTTGACCTTGTGCGGCCTTCACCTCCCCAAGCCGCCCGGATGGATCGGAATAGGCTTAAACCTCTCATAAAACCACGGAATAAAGAACATGATTTCAGTTGAATGACTTAAAAACAGTTCATCACCAATGTTCTACAAATTTGACAGCATTGAAGTCAGTGTTGTTTAATGTGAAAAAAGGAGCGTTTGATGGAACACGATCGACAGAAAAGTGCAGCACTACGAGTTCCAAAAGAAATGACATGTTATTCATAAGAAATGTCATCGGAGAAGAAAAAATTGCAAAAGTCAGTTCGGTAAAAACTGAGATGGAGAGCTCTACCGGAACGCCTTAGCAAAACATTCCTACAGTATAAATGTGAGACGGAGATGCGAATGATAAAGTCATTGCACGGAATTGTAGAGCACTACTCAACACTTTAGTGAAAATGGTGGGTTTTCTTTTCTCTCCCTCCCCTCTCCTCCCAAAAAAAAATTAAATAAAACTTTAGTAGATTTATTCACCAAGGACTATGGTAAAAAATCAAAGATCTTGGGGACATCGCCAACGATTTTCTTTAAGCACAATAGTAGCCTGAATGCCACTGTGATTTTTGGACGGGATTCTAGTGATTGCATGGATATTTTTTTTTGGAATTACCATTCATGATACAAATAACGACGACGGGAACCATGTGAAAAATAGAACGGAAACGTCGTCGATCCTAAGCAAATGCAAATACAATAGGCCTGTGAACAGAATGAAATCAGAACGCTGTAGCGAAATTAACGTGACCCAAAAACGTGACTACTCTTCATGCAGTACATAGCATTATCAGCTGCACAGATCTGCGGTTTGTCAGAGAAAAGCGAGAAGACCACAATCAGCAACATAGGCGAACTAAAGCCAAACACATACCAGAAGCACAGAAGGACAAAAGTTGCGTTGACATGACGGCAGTGTGTCAGCTGCATCATATGAGCTTTAAACGTATCACTGTTGTGGAATCAAGCGAAAAAGGTGGAATCTCGCTCGGCATTGATTAAATTGTGGATTGGCTGATGGCTGAGCTCAAAATACACACATGCGGACTGTGGGCGTTGTGACAAAGCGAATTTCAAGCTATAACCGCATAATTATAAGCGGCTTGCACGAATTTCATATCTCCGAATCCAGATTCCAGTTCCGAATTAACAGCGCAAAGCTATTGCGCTATCGGCAAAAGGCCGTCCGACACCACCCTGAACAGGTAGAGGCGAGCGAAAACGCATACGCTTAAAACTAGTCTGATCCATAAATGCTGAGGTGTCATCCTTGAAAACTTATCCTAGATTAAAAAAGAAGCCGACGCGAATAACAACGCAGAACAGCTCTATCATGAGTGTATTTTCTGCCATTCCGATTTTCACTCATCTAATACCAAATCAGGTAACATTTTGTTTCAACTGCCAACCTAGCAATTTTTGTTCCCATTCAGAAAGTTTGCGTACCCATGAAGAAAAATTAGAGGAAGAAG